GCGCGGCCGCGGCCGCCGCCGCCGGCTGGTACGACTGGAGGTGGTGCTTGTGCTGCCACACGGCGGCGTAGTCTCCCTTCTCTAGGTACCCGGCCCTGGCCATGTCCGCGCTCTGCGTCGGCAGCACGGCTCCCGCGAAGGCCAGGCTGCTCTGGGGCGGGACTCCCAGAACAAAGTCGGAGTCCGGGTGCGCCACGGCGGCCACGGCGTGCAGAGAGGGGCTGGCTCGGGCTTCTCCTCCCAGCTGCACCTGGCTGTGCGGCGCTCGTCTCATCTGCCTCACCAGGCTTTGAACCTCTGCCAGCTCCGACTGGGGGGGCCTGCTCTGATCTCCAGAGGTCAGCCCTGCGCTAGAACACAGCGTCTCCACGGGCGCTTCAGAGAGCTTATTCGGGCCGGCGTGATAAGCTTTGTGCCCGTGTCTGACGGCGTAGCCATTATTTAGAACGTTATTGTACGGCGCCGCGGGAGTCTGGGAGTTTAGTGCTTGTTTAGTCCTCCGACCCTCTGAGTTTTTCACCACGCCTTTGGCCGCGACGGAGGCCCTGACGACGGCCAACAAGCCCTGGTAGCCCGTGCACGGGTGTGAGTAGGGGGTGTAGCGCTGACCTGTGGTGTCCAGGCCGTTGACCGTCTTGTTGAGTTGTCTGTGCTGCGGGACTCGAACGTCTGTCGGAAATATTCTGATGGACAGCGGATTGTTGGCGGTCTTCTGGGCAAAGGCGTCCAGCTCCGCAGGAGAAGGGTAGCGGGAGTTCATGGAGGTCGATTCACCTGAGAAGAAAACATAGAATCAAATATTGAATTTTTTTTATCCATGCATTTTCTTTATTTTGAATATTATTATTTATGTTTAAATATATATATATATATATTAAGTAAATATATATAATTATATATTTTTTCAATTTTCCAAATTAAAGCTGTTTACAGGTATACTGTATTGCTTTGGTAGGCTAGCCTGTGCTAATGGTAAGAGGATGGGAAGGTCACAGGTTCGATTCCCACCTTTGTGGTGTGTTGAGCAATTGCCCACCCCCCATTTTAAGCGCCC